GTGAACTCGTCTCTGGGAAACTGTTGGCCCTGATATTAGCATTTGGGCAGACGTCACTAGAATGCAGTATCTGGACTGAAATCAACTGGCAAGGACGCCTTCATCGGCTCGCCTGGAGAGCTTAGCAACTGTGCCAACCCCTCTAGCCTCTTAGTCATACACGTATGGTCCTGTAGTCTTATTGTATATTTTAAATGACTTTCCAACTCCCACAATGCCTGCTGCAGACCCGTACTCTTAATGAGGAGCCCTGCTGGCGCATTTGCTAAATACTTGGCTGCTAACGGAAACCAAAAGGTCAGTGATTTGAACTCACCAGCTGCTCAGTGGGAGAAAGATGTGGCAGTCAGCCTTGATAAAGATTACAGCCTTGGAAACCTTATTTATTCCAACTTTTCACCGAATGGCTTTCCAACTTTATCTTGTTGTTGGGTACCTCCAAGTGGATTCCAACTCGTGGCGAATCCATGTGACTGAATAGCACTGCTGTTTATAGAGCAGATCGCCAAGTCTTTCTCCTGTGGTGGCACTAGGTGGGTTTGAACCTGCAACCTTTTTGTTGGCAGCCAAGCTCTTAACCATTGCACCATCAGGGCTCCTTAACTTTATCTTGCAATTACAGAAATAAGTATTGTTTATTTTTAAAATCAAGAGCTACTTTGATATAGAAAAACTTATTCAAATAACATCATATCACTAGTCACAGTTTATCCAGTAAATAACAACAAAGTTTATCTGACATTAACAGAAATGTAAAACGTCTTGAGAAACTTTTTAAAAAAAATAAAACTTGGAAAATACTGAAAAGCATAGAAATAATTATCTGTAAGCCCACAATTTAGAATTTACCACTGCTAACTTTTTGGGTGTATCTTTCCATTTTTTAATCTACACTGTAACACCTCTTAAAAACTCTTAAAAATGAGATCAAACTAGCTATTTTGAAGACTTCTTTTCACTTAGCAAACCTAGAACATTCTGCCATATCATTTCTTTTATGTAAATACAAAAATTTTATTGTAAAAAATTGCCAAAATTTGTAAATAAAAATAGAGTACAACTAGCATCCCCACGTTGTGGGGGCGAAAACCCCAGGTTTTGCTCAGCGTGACTTGCGGAGGTAGGAGATAAAAGACTCCTTTAGTTCGTTGTACAAGGAAAGGAGCAATCGGGGCTGTTTCCTCCAAGACTGCTGCTCACAGGCAGCTTGGGGAGGTGGGCTTTTATAGAGAGCAGACAAGAAATTGCAAATTTATCGTAAATATTCAGGATTGACCTTCACACAGGCGCTCTGAGAATGGGGATTACTATGCATTTTTTTTAGACAAGGGATGGAGGAAGAGGTTGATTTTCCTTTATTAGTATGTTAGGTCTCCACCTAGAGGCGGGTTGAGGCCATCTATGCCGTTCCGTGGTTATCTTGTCAAGGACAATTTCAGAAGAAAGTGCAGCCTTTTCTGCTCGATGTAGGAGGATAAGCCAGAGCAGGTGTCTCTTAGAAGAGTTGGGCTCTCAGGCTGCCTGCCTCACCCATACCCTGCACTGAGTTATAACAACCATCAACATTTTGCCATAATTCCTTCCTTTTTTTTTTTTTGGAGTATTTAAAGCCAGTCACAGACACATTTTATCCCTATCTACTTCAGTATATATTAATTTTTTTCTTAGCCACCATGACATTACACCTAATAAAAAAAATTTCCTAATATTCTCAAATTGCCTTTTTTTTTTTAAAATAATATTTGTGTTCTTGGTGAAGGTTTACATAATTGTTTATGTTCCCAGTCAACAGTTTCTATGCAAATTGTTCAGTCACATTGGATACATTCTTTACAATGCATGAACATTCTCATTATTTTGGTTCTGGTTGTTCAGTTTCCATTAATCTAGTTTCCCTTCCCCCCTTGAATTCTCACCTTTGTTTTAAAGTAATTGTTAACCATTTGGTTCCTTTTGAGTCTTTTAAAAATGTCTTTTTATAGTTGATTTTGTGTGAAACGAGAGTCAGTGTACTTGATTGCTGTCTCTTCAGTTTAAGTCTCTTTTAATCTACAACAGTTTCCTCAACACTCCCTCTGTTTAATGCAATTAACATGTTGAAGAAAAAGTTGTGCTATAGAATGAACTACATTTTGAATATAGCTGGTTGCTTCTGCCTGGTAATTAAATTCATGTTCAGTTTTTTTGGGGGTGTGGGGGGAGAGAGCAAGAGCACTTCATAGTGCTGTCACATACTTTATATTGCATCACATCAGGAGTCATGCTATTTCTGCTTGTCTCATTCTTAGTGATGATTGATCGCTGGGTTATCCCTTCAAAATGAATTTCACCATCAACATCTCATCACATGGTTTTAACCCTTCAATGTTGACCATTGTCTGAAGCAGTTATTTTCTTAGGGGACTGCAAAAAATATATATATTTCTACTTCTTCTAATGCATTCCTTCTGCATTCACCAACTGAGATTCTTCTGAATAGAACTTTCCATCATCCACTAGAGACTACTGGTAGTCCCCGACTTACAACACATTGGAGTTACAACGAACCCCACTTACAACCATCCTTTTTTTGTTTGTACATCTTATCATTAGTAATATGTACTACATACAACATTGCAGTGTGTAATTTGCTGATGTTATCATACACATGCCAACCCTCAAAGACAAATAAAGATCAGATTTATAAAGATACTGATACTAAAAGGCAGTAATAATGAAAACGAAAAACAAAAAAAAGATGTATTTCAACTTACCTCAGAACCAACTTATGATGGAGTTGTTGGAATGGAACCCCGTTGTAAGTTGGGGAACTACCTGTACACATAAATTCATTCCAGAAAGGCAAGATACAGTCTTAATATTTTCCTTTAAATTATAACTTTTCAGAGTATTGAGTTCATGCTTTAGTAACTTCCAGTGGTATCCAATATGTTTTGTCTTGCTTTTCTTTTTTTCAATCATTAAGAATTGGTGACTTTTTCTACAGTTAATATGTTGTAATCAATTGCAGTCATCATTCTTATTGATGCTCAGTTTGTCCCATCTTAGGCCAATGGGAGTCTCTTCAAGTTGGCACCTGTGTCCTTTTGACATGGTCACATTAGTTTTTGATAATTTCCTTGCTTTCTGGCACATAAGATGTCCCAGGCTCACTTTGTCTATATCTTGTCCCAGATTTGGAATCAGCTATTTCTATAAGGAGACCTGGCTCCTTTTAGTGGGAAACAGTATTTAGAAAACACAATCTGGATGCTACAGGTGTTCGTTACTAATGAGCTGTCATTGTTTTTAGACACTTTCAGTGGCTACAGCTAGCAAATACATAATTTTAAAAAAAGAAGTATAAAAAGCAAGAGTTTACACTGATATTTCTAATTAAAATTTAAGATTGCAAGAGTTGGCTTTTTTTTTAAACTTCTTTGATTTTATAATTGTATCTCTTTTCTTTTATGCCAAAAAATCTTGCTTCTAAAACCTTACCATAATTGCTTTATCCTGTCCATGTATTTATTTCAAAATAACCATATCAATATTACAGTAGCAATAAAACTAGTGAATAAGTTTTTTTTAAAAAAAAAAAAAAGGTTTAAGATTTCTTTACAGTTCTTTTTATCCTTAGAGTATACTCTACTAAACACCCCAGAACATTTTCCCATAAAAATTCAAAATACTTTTCCTAAGGTCAAGTTTCTGTTTTCTGTATTTATGTCATAAACTTGATATGAAGGTATTTTCATTCATTTCAGTTTGCTTTCAAATAAACTGTCCCCTACTGATGGTTATTTAGGTCACTCCAATTTTTGCTATTGTTAACCTTGCCATAAGAAAATTCTCGTAAGACAATTTTTGGTTTAGTTTCCTCAAAGTGGTCCCTGGGTGGCACAAACAGTTTGCATGCAACCACTAACCTAAACGTTGGCAGTTTGAACTCACCCAGTGAAACCACAGGAGAAAGGCCTGGTGATCTGCTTCCATAAAGATTACAGCCAAGAAAACTCTATTGAACAGTTCTACTCTGTAACACATGGGGTCACCATGCATCCGAATCAACTCAACAGCAGTGGGTTTGGTTTTTGTTTTTCCTAAAAGTAGGATTGCTGGGTCAAATGATAAATGCATACACCATTTTGGTGGATATTGTTAAAATCTTTTCTATGAGAGTTGTATCATTTTGCACTCCCTCCAACAATGTATAGGAACCAAATGGGGTAAAAAGGGAAGAGATAGGGTTTATGAGAACCTAGAAATTTGGAGGTGACCCAGAGGGGAGGGCACTGCTTAGTTGCTATTAATACCTCAGCAGCTAAGAAAAGGGGTTCCTGGAGCTGGAACTTAGATTGTCAAAGCTTTTCCTTCTAGGCAGAGTAGAATTTGATTAGTTATTTGAACATAGCATGTGAATTGATCTCAGGTAGGAATAGGATTTATTGCCTTCACCCTGGAATAGTAAGCAATCTTTAAAATAAATTAAAGTCATAAAAACCAAACTCAGAAGACCCTGAGAAGTTGATCCTCTCCCCCAAATCATTAGATTACCATGTAATATATAGGACTAATACAGAAGCTGGCAACTAAAAAGTATTTCTAAAAGTAGTAGAATGAAGGGGTGAGAGGAAACTGGCCAGGACAGGAAGAGATTTTTAAACCCTTTTAGATTTCATCATATATTGAATGATTAAAAAAAAAAAGTTTGGCATACAACAAGGAAACCAATGCAAAAGTATTTATTAATATATTTTATTTGGCTAAAAGGGTAATAGCTATTATTTGGTTAAAGGCTCTTAGGTGGAAAGAAGCCTCAGTGAACAGGAAGATAAGTTATATGATGACCAAAGTGATTTTAAAAGATTAGTATTACAAAATAGCTATTTTATACACATACATCTAAATATAAGAATGGGTAAATCATTACTCCACTGAAAGGCAAAAAATGAAAAAACGAAACAAAAAAAACACCTTTCACGTGTTTCATCTTCTTGATCATCGTTATATCTGTTTTGACTCTTTATGCTTTGCGAATTCAGAAAACCAATATCCATAAATTCACCTCATCTTCTCATCTTCCTGCAAAGTAGAAAAAAAGATTAACAGTAATAACAACCCAAAACTAATGCTTATGCTGTGAGGCATGGTGAAGAGAACTGCTGCATCATACCAGTTCCCTCAAACTTTGGTGTATATTTGAAATATTCAAAGACAGTGAGAATTATAAATAAGGTTTATAAGAAAAACTAATAAACGTAGGTTTTATATATTAATTTTTCTGCTACATATTTCCTTTTTATTATGAACTTTACCATACATACAGAATATACGAACACGTGCAAATTTAAAAACAAAATAAATGCTCGTGTGCCTACAACACAGGCTAACAGATAAAATATTATCACCCCTCAGAAGTCTGACCACATCTATCTCCTCCCCAAGAAGTAACCACTATCTGAATCGTGTTAATCAGTGTTTTGCTTTTCTTTACGCTTTTTTTTTTTTTTTTTTTACTACCTGTGTATTGCACTCTTTAAAAGTATATTCTTTGGTTTTGTCTACGACTGACCTTTGTATCAACAGAAATCATATTGTAGGTGCTTTTCTGTGACTTGCTTTTTTCACTCAACATCTTAACTCATTTTCAAGCCTCTATTTTCTTACTGAAACATATTAAATATACTTATTTTACATTCTCTATCTGCTTCTGCTATCAGTTGTTTCTGCTGGTGTCTTGTTCCCTTGTGTGTTTAGTGTTTTCTTTCTGTGAGCTAGTGGTTTATTTCCCTTGCAACTCATCTGTGGAAAATGTGCCTGAGATGGAGGGTTCCTTTACAGAGTATTTGCATTTGCTTCTGACAGACACCAGAGGCACTACAAGTCATGGACTACTTATACTAAATCCTCAGCTGGAAGCTTCTTGGGCCTTTCAGATGGTGTGAATTCCAGCTCCAATCTACATGAAGGCTGGAGTATGGTTACAAATTCTCAAGGGAGATTATTTTTAGTTTGTGCTTCTTTATATTAAAGGAGACCTACTGTTAAGACTCTTCATTTCAGCTGAACCCTAGGATTTGTCTTCTGTCCCTCAGCTCTGTAAGGTTGTGAATCCAATGCTCTCAAGGCAAAAACCAGTTTCAGTTTCCACAGACCTCTCTCTGGGTTCATGCTCTCATTGGGTCCCTGATCTGAGCTTTTCTTTGGTTCCTACTAGCTAGCAGATGCATTCAAGGCTTTTTATTTGTTTTACCCAGTTATCTGAGGTGTTTTTTTTTTTCAGTAATAGGATTGATCATGCTCCCAGTATCTCATGTTGTAAGAAATGGAGCAGTATTTATTCTTTATATTTTATATATATATATATATATATATATATAATGTAGGTTTGGGATGAAATATATGCATCATGGTCCCAAATTAGAAAGCTATAAAAGGCTAGAAGGAGAATAAGTCCCTCTTTCTCCTCTGTGCCCCTCTCCAGAGCCAATATGATACCACTGTCTTGGCTAATTAGAATTTAATTAATCATTTCAAAAGAGCTACTTATTCTAAACTGAAATATAGCAAAATGCTGTAATGAAATACTATTCTAATTTAGATACATTGTACATACAGATTTTTTTGGTCAACAGCTTAGTATGTAAATTTTTTTAACGCAAAAATCACAATGTAAACTCAATATAAATACTAAGAGTGAAGACAATTCAGCTGTCATCTATTTTCTTCTGTCTTTTTGGAATTGGGAATGGCATGCAGGTATATCACAACTTCTGGGAGCCTCTATGAGAGCAGATCCTGACTGAAGCTAATTGCTATTATGGAATGACCAACACAGATACTGAGGACAAAAGTGACTGGAGTTATCAGGAAGGTAATACAAATATATTTTTAAAGTCCTTTATCTCTTAAGCCTCAAAGCACTGTACATGACAAAAGAGGACACTTTTAATAGTAAAAGCCACATCCACAATGACTATATAACAATTAAGAATATTTATGCACAAAATACCATTGGTTCTGTTGCTATTGATATTTTGTTTTGGTATTTTGTGCCTGACTCAAGCATTGGTGTTTTCAGTTGCCTCATATGCACGCAAAAGCTGGACAATGAATAAGCAAGACCGAAGAAGAGATGTATTAGAATGATGGTGTTGGCAAAGAATACTGAATAGAAGAACAAACAAATCTGTCTTGGAAGTAGTACAGCCAGAATGCTCCTTCGAAGTGAGAATGGCAAGACTTCATCTCACATACTTTGGACATGTTGTAAGGAGGGACCAGTCCCTGGAGAAGGGCATCATGCTTGGTAAAGTAGAGGGCCAGCAAAAGAGAGGAAAACCCTCGATGAAATGGACTGACATAGCAGCTGCAACAATAGTCTCAATCACAGCAACGATTGTGAGGACGGTGCAGGACCGGGCAGTGTTTCATTCTGTTATACACAGGGTCGCTATGAGTCAGAACCGACTCAACGACGCTTAACAAGAACAACAACATGCACAAAATAGCACAGCAACCACCTTCATGAAGCAAAAAATACAGGAGATCCATGAAGATATAGCTAGAAACACAATAAGTAACAGGAGATTTTAACATCTACTCTCAGTATAAGACAGTTGGAAAAAAAAAAAGTAAGGAGACAGAAGATCTCAACAACATAATCAATAGGGTAAATCTTATGGCTATATATTGAATTCTAATAGAGAATACAAAGGAGCTCTGGTGGCGCAATGGTTAAGTGCTGGACTGCTAACCGCAAGGTCAGTGGTTTGACCTACCAGCTGCTCCACGGAAGAAAGGTGTGGCAGTCTGCTTCCATGAAGATTACAGTCTTGGAACCCTATGGGGCAGTCCAACTCTGTCCTATAGGGTTGCTATGAGTCGAAATTGACTCAACAGCAATGGGATTAATAGAGAATACACATTCTTCTCAAGTGCTCAAAGCACAGTTAAAAAAGTTGATCATATATTAGGTCATAAAGAAAACATTAATTTCGATAAAGCAGAAATACTACAAAAAAACCTCTAACTACAATGTAATAAAATTAGAACTTACAAACAAAAACAGAAAGGCTTGATCACCTGGAAATTTTAAAAATCTTCCTATTAAACAAATCCTGAGTAAATGGGGAAATTAATCAATAATAAAAATGGAAACACTATGTATTAGAATCTATGGGGGGCATTTAAAGCATTGATAAGAGGAAAATTCATTTGCACTAAACAGTTTTATCAACATAAGTGAAAGAATAAAAATAAATTAGTTGAATTCCCACTTCCAAAAACTAGAAAACAAAAAATAAAGAAAACTCTGTTCACAAAGAAGGAAATAGTAAAGAAAAAACAAAAACTAAATGTAGACGATAAAAAAAAACCCAGTAGATTTAATTCCAAAACCAAACCATCCCCCTGTTGTTGAGTTGATTCCAACTCATAGTGACCCCATAGGCTTTCCAAGGCTGTAAATCTCTTCGGAAGCAGACTGCTACATCTTTCTCCCACAGACCACTGGTGGTTTTGAATCACCAACCTTCTGGTTAGCAGTCGATTGCTTTAACCACTGTGCCACCAGGGCTCCTGTAGATATAATTAGTAAATCAAAACCTGATTTTTTTTGGACAAGTTAAGAAAATAGACAAACCACTAGCTAAACCTGATGAAGAATAAAAAATAATAAATGACAAAAGAGAAATAATCATTGAAAGAAAAGATATTTAAAAATTCCTAAGATTCTGTAGACTTCTAAGCAGATAAATTTGAAAATCTAGCTGAAATGGATAATTTCCTATGGAAATACAAATAACCAGAACAGATCCCATTAGAGTGAAAAAGCTTAAACAGACCTATTTTCACATGGGAAACAGACAATGTTATTAAGAATCTACTCCATAAAACAGAAACCCTGGTGGTGTAGTGGTTAAGAGCTCAGCTGCTAACCAAAAAGTTTAGCAGTTCAAATCCACCAGGTGATCCTTGGAAGCCCTATGGGGCAATTCTACTGTGTCTTACAGGGTCACTGAGTCAGAATCGACTCAATGGCAATGGGACGCCATGAAAAATGCACCAAGACTCAATGGTTTCAGAGAGGAATTCTACCAAATCTTTAAAGACCAGATAGCCTCAATGCTCTATAAATTATTTCAAAACATCCTTTTATGAAGTAAGTATAATATTGATACTTAAGCCAGATAAAGATAGTTCAAAAAAAGAAAACAATAGATCCATATCACTTATGGATATTGGTGTATATATTCTAACAAAGTATTTTAGGAAACAAAATCCAACATCACATGAAAAACATACACCATGATCAAGTGGGACTTATTCCAGGAATGCAAGGTTGATTCAATATTAGAAAACCCATCAACGTACACCATGTTAATAAATCTAAGGAAATAAAGAATGATTATCTCCATAGATCCTGAAAAAACTTTTGAGAAAATTGTATACTCATTCATGATAAAAACATTTAAGAAAATAGAACTGACATTTTTGTTTTGTTTATAGTCGTAGTTTAAGTGAAAGTTTACATTTCAAGTTACTCTCTTATACAAAAATTTATACACACATTGTTATGTGACCCTAATTGCTCTCCCTATACTGCGACAGCACACTCCTCCTTTCTACCCGATCTCCCATGTCCATTCAACCAGCTCCTAACCCTCTCTGCCTTCTCATTTTACCTCCCGAGAGAAGCCGCCCATTTAGTCTCATGTATCTACTTGAGCTAAGAAGCACACTCTTCTCAAGTATCATTTTATGTCCCACAGTCCAGTCCAATCTTTGTGAAAGACACTTTCTTAACATGATAAATTATATATATATATATATGTATATATATATATAAAATCATCCCAAATCTTGGTTACTAAACACCATACTCCAATCAAAAGAACCAGCCTCCTTAGAAAAGTGCCTGACTCCAGGGCTTTGGCAGGAAAAATGTAAGATGAGTCTGGAACATCTTTTGTGTTAGAAGGTAAGGAAGTGTTCAAAACAGTATGCGGTTTTGTTGAAAAGATACAGGAGCCAACCTGAAGGAACTCCTAACGGCTAAAGTTTGGAATAATTTCAGCAACAAAATAAATGTTGATAGTATTGGATTTAAATAAATGGAGAAGAGATAACTCTTCTTTACAGAAGAATTCTCATTAATAAATGTAGAAGGGAAAACAGAAATAGAAAATCAATATTAGGCAAGCATCACAGTAATAATTGTTGCAGGCAAGATCTACCAATGGATGTTAAAATTAGTGGCTGAAATTTTGAGCATCTCTCCCCCAGTGTTCAAAAATTCAAAAGGAAAAGATAGCAACTTTACAGTCACCCAAACAATTTATGTTTTATTGCTATTCAGAAGTGTCAAATACTAATTTAGGAATGAATTTTTATAAGTATATATTTTATAATAGTATATTAAAATCATTTTAATATTACAGAAATACCAACCTTTTGAGACTTGGCTCTTTTAAAGAGAGAGGAATACATCTTCTTCTTCTGCCTGGCAGTTCTGAAGATGGATCTTCTGCCTTATTTTCAGATTTAGAAACAAAACTGGTATTTGTCAAGTCCTGTAGCGTTCTATCACCTGAAGACAATATATTTTCAGAAGTATTTGTAAAAAACATAAAAAGACACAGACATAAAAAATATACACCTACTCCTCACTTATTGACTATTTTGTTATCCGACATTTTTCGTTTACAATAGTAAAAAATCTACTATGGCAACTATTTTGTGCGTTAAGGAGGAGCCAGGCAAGAGGGGGTGGAAGAGGAGGAGGGTGAGGTTTGTGTGAGGGAGTGAGGCTGGCAGGCAGCTTGGTGGTTCATATTACCCGGGACAGGTGGAGGAGCCTCCCCAAGCCCCAGGTGAGCGCAAAGGGGCGGTGAGAGATGGGGCTGCAGACGTCTAGTGGAGTGCTCGGACGTTTCTTCTTCCCAAGAGGCCACTCTACCACCTCCGCAGCCTCTGCCGGGCCCAGGTTGTTGGGCCTCACCTGCCTGTAGGCCCAGGAGCCGCCAGCCACTGAGGCCCATCTCCGGGGCTGACTAAGAGGGAAGGTGGAGAGGCAAGGCACTGGGATCCATGTGGAGGCCTGGAGCGTGGTCAGGTGATAGTGGGCCCCTGCTGCTCCAGAGGTGGCGGGCAACTCCCAACCACCATCACCACAACCAACTTGGACTCTGCAGTGTGGGGAAGGTGTGGTGGGGAAGAGGGGCCCCTCAACGCCATGCGTGTTCCGAGTCACACAGGAGGCGCCTGATGGGCAGTGAGCGACCAGTGGGGACACCGGTACGAAAGACTAGACACAGCCCAACTCTTGGGTAAAGCCAGTTTTCACACAAGGCCCTAGTCTTTGGAACCTAACCACATCGATAAGTGAGGAGTGCGTGTAGTAGTTTACAAATCATGGTCAACACATTTTAAAACTTAACAATTATCAAGTTATAAACATGACAATAGTAGCAATAAAAATATTTGTAAATTAGTTAAATTTAAGAGGAAAAGAGATTTAAAATTTAAAACAATCAAAGTAGTCTCCAATATTTTTATTCTGAAATCGCATATAGGCTGACAAAAATTCTTCATGGTTCAATTTTGTTCACAAACTCACACAAATTACTGCACACTCATTCATTCAACATATATGTCACTGACTGACTGCTCACTCTGTGAAGGCCGCATGGACAGGACAGAGATGAAAGATGGTTCACCAGTTCTCTAATACACCCTGCAATTCTAGCCCCTTTGTACTTCTTTTGCTTCAGTGTTTCTTTTACCTTTTGCCTGAAAGAGCCTTATCCATCAAAATCCTAGTGTTCTACATACGTACACTGAAATGTTAGACTCCTCGTAGAAAATTCTTACTGATGTGGAAATGTCTAATTTAAGAAAAAAAAAGTGGGATACAAAATTTTATATATAGTATGATTTCAAATATATATTTAAAAATCCACACATTCAAGTACGGATGCGTACGCCAAAATATTGATTGTAATTCCTCCAGGTGATTTTTTTTCTGATTCTTTACCTTCAATTTTCTGCAATGAGTTACTATTATTTTAATAACTGGGGAAAAATTAAAAGGAAACAGTAGGGTAAAAATCCCACCTATCCTTCAGGGCCTGAAATGCTACTCAATTCATGATACATTTGCAAATTACTCTAGTCAAAATTACTCTCCATCATAACCCGTTACCATAATGTTTGTGCTTTTATTAAAGCACTAACCACATTTCACAACTGTATTTGTTACTTTTACATGACTGCATGCTGAGAAGGGCTGGTATTATGTTTTAACCTTCTACAATACCTAGTACAATGCTTTGATCACATTAAATATAAATGCTACTGAATGGAAAAATAGTCCTACCCTTAAGAAACTTGTAATTGTCTTTGGTAAAATAAAACCAGTGGAATTCATTATTATATTCACCTAAAACACTTAATTTCCTTCAAACATATGAAAAAGGAAATTATCCGCCTAAGGCCACTAATAGACAAGTTTTGTAGTAAAGGCCAAATCAGTTTTGTAGGCTGTAAATGTCCAAGATACTCTTACTGGTACCTTCTCATAGTATTAAACATTCTTTAAATTCTTTCATGTTGTTTTTATAGATCAAGCTACTCAGGTACATATTGTTTTAAAATTCCATAAAAAATGTCAATTAAAACAGGAAATACCTTACTAAGTGAAGAAAAAAAAAGTAAAAACATGATCCTATCAGGTATTGACCTACCTGTTCCTGATTTTTGTGTTCTCTGGATGACTTTAATCTCTCTCATCTTCTCATGTACATCATCACTTACTTGAAAGACTGGTGAGCCCGTCAGAACAAAACTTTCTCTTATTGTATTTTTACTAGAAGAAATACTCAAAGGTAGTGAATCCTCAAGAACAGTGTTAAAAGAATCTTGCATTTTCGATAAACATATTTGAGATAAAGGTTTAAATACCTTTCTGTAAAACTCTGGCTCAATTTTGACAATTTTCTCATTCTCCAAAATTTTTTCCTTATCAGTTTGTTCAGATTCAACTGACTTTCCCTGAACAGTGTTTGATGTTATCTCCATTTGTTCATTACTATCTGGAGAAGGATCTATGACAGTCTTCCTTTTCTTTGATTTGGGTGTCATTTTATTTACTTTTTTGACCTGGCATTCTCCTTCTCTCACTTCTACAAAGGGTAAATCTCTTTTTTTATTCAGAGTTCTAGTGCTTTGCCTCTGATTCTTAGGTAGTTCAGTTTGGTTTCTAGCATTAGAATCTGGCTCATTAGTAATTTGTTTTAAACCTGATTCTAACGAGATGGAAGTCTGTGAAGAATCTGTTAACTGCAAACTAGTTTTGTGCTTACCTTTAGCCAAAATGTTCTTTGCCTTGCCTGATGATTCTTTCCTATGCTTTTTAACTAGTTTGTAAGGATTTGGAATTTGATCACAATTTTCCTTTTCATTACTGTTGATTTCCATACAGTATCCTCTGCTAATGCCTTGGCATTCAGGTCTCCATTTAGATTTACTTATTTTAAAATCAAGATTGCTGTCTGGACCATGCATATCTTTGTCGTCGTTCTCATACATTTGGTTCATTTCAGAAATTACTTCTGTTTTCCTATTTACTTTCTGCCTAAATTTCTTATTTGTTTTTGATTCATTCTGCTGAGCAGGTTGCATGTCTGTGACCTGCTTTTTCAAACTGAACATATTCTGGGTCTCATAATCATATGCATTTCCATTATCTCTGGTGGAAGGATCAGTTGTTTGAAATTCATTTGCGGTTTCTAGGTCTTTAGAAATGGTTTCTTTATCCTTTTGGGTTAGGGAAAAGAAGTTACCTTTTACTGGGTCATGCACACTTTCGTTATTATAGTCATTTATTAGCTTCATTTCAGAAATTATTTCTGTTTTCCGATTTACTTTCTGCCTAAGCTTCTTATTTATTTTTGATTCATTCTGCTGAGCAGGTTGCATATCAGTGACATGCTTTTTCAAGCCCAACATATTCTGGGTCTCATAATTACATAGGTTTCGATTACTTCTGGTGGAAGAATCAGCGATTTGAAACCCATTTGCATCTTCCAGGTTTTCAGGGGTGGTTTCTTTATCCTTCTGGGTTACAGGAAAGAAGTTACCTTTTTCTGGGTTATTCTCATATATTTGGTTCATTTCAGAAATTATTTCTGTCTTCCGACATACCTTCTGCCTAAGCTTATCTATTTTTGATTCATTTTGACAAGCAGGTTGTATATCATGAACGTGCTTTTTCACCCTCAAAATATTCTGAGTCTCATGATCACATAGGTTTCCAGTATCTTTGGTGGAAAGATCAGGTATTTGAAACCCATTTGAGTCTTCTAGGTTTTCAAGAATGGTTTCTTTATCCTTTTGGGTTAGGAGGAAAAAGTTACCCTTTTCTGGACAATGAACACCTTTGTCATTATCTGTATGATTCATTTCAGAAATTATTTCTGTCTTACGATTTATTTTCTGCCTAAGCTTCTTATTTACGTTTGACTCATTTTGCTGAACCGGGTACATACCGGTGATCTGCTTTTGCAAACCCAACACATTCTGGATCTCCCAATTGCACAGGTTTCCATTATCTCTGGTGGAAAGAGTAAGTGTTTTAAACTCACTTGAGACTTCTACATTTCCAGAGATGGTTTCTTTATTCTCTTGTGTTTGGAAGAAAAAGTCAACTTTTTCTAGGTCATGCACATCTTTATCATTATTCTCATATATTTGGTTCATTTCAGAAATTATTTCTGTCTTCCGATTTACTTTCTGCCTAAGCTTCTTATTTACTTTTGATTCACTTTGCTGAATAGGTTGCATATTGGTGACATGCTTTTTCAAGCCTAACATATGCTGGGTCTCACAATTATGTAAATTTCCATTATCTTTGGTGGAAAGATCAGCTGTTTGAAATTCATTTGTGATTTCTATGTTTTCAGAAATGGTTTCTTTATCCTTATGGTTTGGGATTAAGTTACGTTTTTCTAACTTATTAATTACAAATGTCTGTCTCGAAGCTTTACTTTTATTACAGGTAAGGGAAATCTGACCCATATCAAATTTATTCTCCTGCTGGAATTTATCACAACTTTGGGAGAAAGAGCATATTTCCTCTTGCTCATTCATTAAATACGTTCTTTTCTTTTCATCATACTGTGTACTTTGTCTGTCATCTCGATCCAAATCATTATGAAGGGTTATTTTCTTCAGTATGTTCAGGTGAGCCAGCTGTTCAGAATTGAAAATAAAGTCTGGATCTTCTGAATCACCTTTGCCATCTACAAAAGCAGATCCTTCTGGCCTGTTTTGAATCTTTTCCTCGATATCTACATCCAAACTATTTTTAAATTGTCTCTTTGATCTTTCTCTCTTTTTTTTAGAGTTTGAATCTTTCACTTTTCTGAAAGTTTTCATTCCACAATCATTTGTTTTTTTATTACTTCTATTTTTAGCATGTGTTGAAACTGTAATAATTTTGCTTACTTCACCAGCAGTTAAATCCATGTCAGCATCATACACAGTTTTCTGCAATTGTAAGTCATCATTACCCTGGACTTTATCCATCCCCTCTGCATTAGGTTCACTTACAGACTCAGAAGATGAGCCAGGAACGCACTGGACCTCTCTTTGCATTTTAGTATTTGTTTCATTAGTCTGATTATTTATCTCATTACTCCAGTTTAAATCTGGACTTGGAATCACTTGTTGATCTAAATCTGCCACAAAGGGAGTGTTTGCAGAGGGATTATTTGACTCCCAAGATGGTACATGCTTCTTCCTTTCAGTCACATTACTAGGAGATGGATTCTCCTTTCTGTGGCTGATGGACTGGACACTTTTCGTCTCACTCATTTGGGAACTCTTGAAACTCTGGTCTGAATGAGAACGGCTTTCTAAATAAAACAAATCAAAACAAAGAAAATTCAGAAATAAGTAGTGAAAAGTAATTTACTATTTTAAACAAATGAGATTAGAAAGCAAGCTCTTTCACAGTTATGATGTCTGTCAATGTGTTCTGTTAAGATTGTTATACTACTAAGAAGTCTATGCCGAGAAAAATAGAGCAGAAATAATCAGAATTATTTGTAAGCCACATTTTACATTTGTATCTATGGAAAACATATACTGAAAATTGACTGTGTCTCAGCCCCAACAGTAGGATGGAGTATAGCCAAAGTATAGCCACTAACATATATTTCTAAAGTGGAAGGAGGCCAGCAAATGAACCCAAATCACAGTGATAACTCTGAAAAAGATAAAAATGTCATCAATAAGCCACTAAAATTTATGTAAATATACAATTTTTCAGAAATGAAAAATAATTCTAAGCTCAAAATTCAATATATTTATGGTTCCCTATTCCAATCTGAAAATCTATGACAAATACATAAGCACCACAGAATACAAGCATAGGATTATCATTTAGAAATATCATATTAATAAGTGTCATCATTTTCTCCTGCTCAATCATTACCCAGGCTCAAGCTTTTTGTTTTACCACTGAATGATTATGATTTTGAAAAAGTCACTACACCTATGTAGACCCCAATTTTCATATCTACAGAAAAGAGAAGGTGAAACTAAATATATGGGATATTTTGATTCATATGCTAGGACACCAAGAAAACACTCTTTAGGCCAGCTCATTTCTAAACACTGCATAGTATTAGGCCACTGTGGATCTGACACTTACTAGCATATTTACTTTTACATTAAATTTTTCATCAGCAGTTTTGAATGGTAGAAATTAGGAAATCTACAATATAAAATATCTGTCTACACATCATTGACCTCAAGAAGAAAATCTGATAGATACAACTATTTAATACGAATATTCAAAAGGAATTTTTTAAACAATCTCACCTTTGTAAAGTACATCAACAACAGAAGAAATATGTTCTGAATCCTCTAAACCATGCACATTCAGGTTACTTTCTTTGAGAAACGACAATTCCAAATTATACTGAGTTGATAAAGGTTGTCTTATTGATGCCAAAGAAGAAATATCAGGTGATGACTTTGACATAACATTGTTGTCACTCTGCATTTTGTCTTTATCATCCTCATCATCCTCATCATCATTTGAAGTTAACGGAACCCTACAGACAAGTGGGAAATTCTGGAATAAGGAATTTTATATCTTACAAAAATTATTCACAAAATTGCATGAAGAGTACTTTCTATATTCCATTTATTACGATCCAACCACAAACCCACCCAGGAACCTTTGCGCGCTTAATGAAGACAATAATAGGTAGTTTTTAGTAGTACAGAACTTGGAGTAAAATAGAAATGCTTCTTATCTCCATAGCCACTAGTTGGGCTACTGGGATAATAATACTAAAGAAATGAATAAAGTTCAAATACACTTACAAACACCTATATATCATATTTATACTTTTCTTATACTTAATTCTATGACTACCCAAAACTCTTCCTCTGGCTTCTAACAAGTATAACTATAGGTAAAGTCATGTTAGAAATAAGGTTGTTATGTTTCCAAAAAGCAACCATGTAAATGAAAACAATATTCCTAGTTAAATCTATGAGGGAAAAATGAAGACAGAAACCCAAAGAAATGATGTGATAAACTGACATTCTTGAATTCAAAGAACAAAGATTAATATCCCCTAATGCTAAAGATCTTGCCTTATACCCTGAAAAAAAATCAGATATGTAGAAATTCGTGATAGTGAAAAAAAAAAATTGTTAAAATTTAAAGGTAATTACTAGTAATGACATCTTTAAAGTGTTGAAAGAAAGTGACTCTGAACCTAAAATTCTATAACTGCAAATATATCCTTCAAAATGAAGGAGAAATAAAGATGTTTCCAGAAAAGAAACAAAACTGAGTAAATCCATTGCCTGCAACCTGCACTAAGATAAATTACTAGGGTAATCATACAGGCAATCACTAGGGTAATTAATAATAAAGTTAATAGACAAGGAAAAAATAGACACTAAAAAGTATTTGTTCATCAATAAACGAGAGAAAAAGGAAAAAGTGGCTCAAATAGAAAAGAAATAATTAGGTGGTAGATAGAAATCTAAATATATCAGTAAATACACTCAATGTAAACAGACTATTAAATAAATGGGATGTTATTAAAAACCTTTCCACAAAAAAAATACAGATTCTGAGAAATTCTTCCAAACATTTAAAGAAAAAATAACACCAATTTTACACAAATACTTCCACAAAATGGAAAAAAAAAAAAAGAAAAAAAAAAGTACCTATCTATTTACTGCGACCAGTATAACCTAAATACCAAAACTTGGCACATTGTATTAAAAGAAAGAAAAATTAAAAGCCATACTCCATCATTAACATATATACAAAATCCTAAAAATAATGAGCAAATAGAATCAGCATATATTAACAGAATACATCACATCATGAGGAGTTCATTGCAGAAATGCAGTGGTGGTTTAATATTCAAAAATCAATGCTGTAATTCTTTACATTTAGTTGAAAATAAAGGAGAAAAGTAATATCTTCTCAATAGAGACAGAAAAGTCATTTGATAAAACCCAGGAGTAAACAACATCTTTAATGATGGGAACACAATAAGAATGCCCATTATCATTACTTTTATTCAATACTAAACAGGAAGTAGTGGCTCCAATAATTTTGCAAAAACAAAAACAAAATGATCACCATTCACAAATATCAAAACTGCACCCACAGAAAATGCAAAAAAACAAAAAAAAACTATAGATAAGCTATTAGAATTAATAGAAAGTCACTTGAAACAAGGTTAATATAACAAAATTGATTGTACGTCTACATACTAGCATCAAGAAAAAAATGAAATAAAAAAAACCCAAAAACATTGAGAATAGCCCAAAAAAATCAAATAAGTAGGAATAATCTAAAAATGATGCATATTAACTATACAAAAAACTACAAACGATTGAGAAAAAATACATAATACTAAAAACATAGTGATATACCATGATCATGGATAGAAGACTCAATTTTATAAAGATGTTAATTCTTCCCAAAATGAACTAGAATCAACAGAATCCCAATCAAGATTCCAGCAGTGTGTGTATGCATGTGTAAATCGACAAGCCGATTCTAAAATTCACATGGAAATGCAAAAGGTCAAGAATAGCCAAAGAAATAAAACAAATTAATTAATTAAAGGCTTATACTATCAAATAGCAAGATTTATTTAAAAGCTAATAATTAAAACAGTGTAGTATTGACAAAACAACTCATGTAATAGTGAGTTGAGACACAAACTCATATATATTCAAACCAAAAAAAAATAAAATAAATAAATTCCAAATCCATTGCCATCGAGTTGATTCTGACTCATAGCGACCCTACAGGACAGAGCAGAACTGCCCTGTAGGGTTCCGAAGGAGTGGCTGGTGGATTTGAACTGCTGACCTTTTGGTTAGCAGCTGAGCTCTTAACCACTGCACCTGATTTATGATAAAAATGACCTGCAGTGAGGTGGGGAAAGAATCATCTTTTCAATAAAAGATCAACTGGTTAAACCCAAGTTGGACCTTGGGTCAAATGGTATAAGATCAAGTAGATAACCACATGGAAAAAATGAATCTTGACCCCTCCCCTCACACCATACCCAAAAACTCCAAGTAGACTGAAGAGCTAAATGTGAAGAGAAAATAATAAAGCTTTTAAAAGAAAACATAGTATGCCTTGTGATCTTGAAATTGGTAGAGATTTCTTTTAAAGGATGCCAAAAGTACTAACCGTAAGTGGAGGTATATATATATATTTATATGAAGCCCTATGGAGCCCTGGTAGTGCAGTGGTGAAGAGCTCAGGCTGCTAATCAAAAGGTCGGCAGTTCGACTCTGTCCTATAGGGCCACTATGAGTTGGAATTGACTCAAAGGCAACAGGTTTGGTTTTCTGGTTTTTTATAGACACATACACACACACACACACGTGTGCGTGTGTAAAGAACTTCTGTTCATCTAAAGATATCATTAAGAAAGTACAGAGGCAAGCCACAGAGTAGGAAAAGATATGTGTAACATACAAAGAACTCAGGCATAGTATATATAAAGAACTGTCATAAATCTTTAAGAAAACAACAGACAACCCAATAGGAAAAAAAAAAAAACAAAAAACCATGAACAGATGCTTAACTTTATTAGTTATCACAAAAATGAAAATTGAAACCTCAATTTATACCACTACACACTCCTAAAATGGCTAAAATGAAAAAGACAGACAATAACAAGTGTTATTGAAGATGTAGAATAACAGGAATTCTCATATATTGCTAGCAGGAAGGTAAATTGGTACAACTACTTCAGAAAACTGTCTTGCAACTTCTCCTAAAGTCAAATATGTATAAACCCAGTAATTATATAATTTGAGTTATAGACCCAATGGAAACATGTACTTACACTGATCAAAAGACATATATATAGCAGCACAAAAAGTTTTAATAAATCAAAACTGGAAAAAACTAAATGTTCATCATCAAAAGAATAAACAAATAAACTGTGGTATAATCATGCAGTGGAATACTACACAGCAATGAGAATGAATGATCTATAGATCTGCAACTACATATAGCAATATGGATGAATCTCACAAACATAATGCTAAGGAAAAGAAGTTAAACACAAAAATCATACATATTGTATGATTCCATTTTATGAAGTTTATAAATAGGCAAAACAAATCCATCTATGATGTTGGAAGTTAGGATAGTAGTTATCGTTAGGTGGGTGGTGGATAGTGATTAGAAAGGGGCATAAGGAGGGGTATCTGAGGTACTGGTAATGTTCTGTTTCTTGATCGGGGTACTGGCTATACAGTAGCATTCACTTGGTAAAAACTTGCTGTGCTCTAAAGATTTTTGCACTTTTCTAATATCTATGTTATACTTCAAACAGAAGTTTACTTAAAAAAAAACCACAATGAAATTTTTTGAAGGGTTTGTTGACACTTGATTTTCATGTTTATGTGAAACAATAAGTGCATAAGGAAAGCCAAGACATTTTTGAAAACTAAGAAAAGGACCTACAAGACAATCAAATTTACTATTTTAAAAGTACAGCAAGCAAAATGTACTGGTGCAAGGTGATACTAGTACAGTATAATAGGCAAATCAATGGAACAAACTAGGATGAACAGAAAGTGACACAATAGATATAAGAATTTTTTACTATAGTACAGACAGAATTTCAATATGTATATATATGCATTTACTTGTACACTTATATAGAAGCATTAAACCTATACGTCATATAATGAAAAGAACATTGTCTGAAAGAGGGAAGAGGATTGTGATTAATGTTATTAATTCACTGAGCCATTTTACTTCTTTGGGCCTCAATGACTGTCTTTAAAACGATAAGTTTGAATGAGGGTACTTTCTATGGCTTATAATCAAATTAATCAAAAAATGGGTATTTTGGTCAAGAGGAGAATAGCAGTGTAGCGGCAGAAGACCCCAGTGATGATCCGGGGGAAAGAAAGGAAAGAACTGAAGTGTGGCAGGATACCACAGACAAGCCTGGTTATTGAATTGAGGGGTAAGTTTCCTTGGAATCCTGGAGACACAAAACCTGTAGCAAGACACCACCGTCTCATTTAGACCTTAGTAGGTAACTATAGGTTGATGAAATGCAAACATTGTTTAACACACACAAACACTGACCATGTTATAGAAAATCTTCATAACCTAAACCAATGTACAAATTCATATACCTAAGAATCCACCTGTGCCTCTTTCTCTATGGCTTATGGGAAAGCTGAATATTATTTCAAAGTTTAAAACTGAATTCTATTAGATTATGTCTTCAATTTCTTTCATCAGAGCAATGTTAACAAGTTTTCGTTACTTATTTTTAAATGTTTTTTTATATTCCAAGGAAGCAAACCAAATAAAAACTATTCAAAGTCCAATTTAGATAAAAGTTTGCAAGTCAATATTTAACTAAGTTTTGAAGAAATTACCTTGCAAATGGAAGGCGCATCAAATTGCACTGTTTACTAACTCGTTTCTTCTGGCTAGCTGGCAGTACAAAGGGACTCTGATGGAACTATTTGAAAAGAACAAAGAAAATTTTCTGAAAAGAAGCAAAATTTCTAATCTCATTAATTCATGTATTTTTTATTAAAGTACTAAATTATACAAGAATACCAATAGTAATAAAACAATTCTTGCATTAGCCTTTAATAGTTGAATAAGAATAATGTGCTCATAAGGTTAAAATGCAGTTCATCCTTAATCATGGCACCCAAAGATAACCACTAATATTTTGGTATATAATCTTCCAAACTTTCTTTTGGAAGAAAGTTTCTTTATTTCTATACATAGAAATAAATCCACATGCATATGTCCATATACATATCTCTACATATATATGTAATACATTAATGTCCACACATTGGATTATGTATTTTAAAATGGCTTTTTTATTCAAGATCTGGGTGATGTAAATATACTTTTTAAATTTTTACATATCTACACTTTCTAAATTTTCTGAAATGAATGTTTTAATTATTTAATAAAAACCATAAAATTAGTCAACACACAATCATGTTTTTCTAGTACAGAGCTAAGCTATATAATGGAAACAGAAAGTATGACCAAATTAACAACTTGATTTTAAAATTCATATGGAAATGCAGTGTATCTAGAATAGCCAAAACAACTTAGAAAAAAACAAAGTTGGAAGAATACAATAATTAGGACAGTGTGGTATTAGCATCAAGATAGACAAATAGATAACGGAATAGAACAGAGAGTTCAAAAACAGACCTATTTATTTAGTCAATTAAATTTTGACAAAGGTACAAAGGCCAAATGGGGAGCCTAGACTTCCACCCTTGCTAAGCTGTAATAAGGCACTCCTCCCCCAAACTTAATAAAACTGACTAGGGACAACAGAAAGAAATCTAAGCAGACTAATATCCATAGAATAAACAAAGTTAAGAGCTATCACTCCCACTAAAATAGTCTCAGGTCCAGATGGTTTCACACAGGAATGCTACAAATCTTTAAAGAACAAATAATTCCAATACTACACCACTTTTCCAGAGCATAGGAAAAGAAAGAAAAGATCCAAATTCTTTTTTAAGGCTTCATATATAATATTTTTATCAATGCCTAAAAAAGACTATACAAAAAGAAAACTTTAAAGAAACCTCACTTATGAAGAATACAAAAATCCTAAATAAAATACTGGTAAAAAGAATTCAGCAGAACACTAAAAGATTAATAAATCATTTCTGATGTTTATTCCAGAAATGCAAAATTAGGAAAGCTTAATGTGATAAGAAGCCATCACATTAATACATCTAAAAAGAAAGACCAATGACCATCATTATAGATGCTGAAAATATTTAACATTATTTTTTATTTAAAAGGCTCAGTAATGTAGGTATTGCAGGATAAATATGTACCTCATCATTAAAAAAAGCACACATTGTTCTTAATGAGGAAACACTATTCAACATTTTATAAGTATTTTTTACTGTCTACTATGTTCTAGGCATTGTTCTGGTATAGATAAAAATCACTGCACTTAAGAAGCCTACATTCCGGTGGAATGAGCAATAAATAAAATTAATAAGTAAAGTTTTACACAGGAATATCTTGTTTTATTGTGGTTCACAGACATTGCATTTTTCACAAACTGTAGGTTTGTGGCACCCCTGCATCAAGCAAGTCTGTTGGCCGCATTTTTCCAACAGCATGTGTTCACTTCGTGTCTCTGTGTCACTTTTTGGTAACTCTCGCAGTATTTCCAACTTTTTCATTATTATTGTATCTGCTACGGTGATCGGTGATAAATGATCATTGATGTTACTATTGTAATTGTTTTGGGGCTCCACAAACTGTGCCCCATAAGATGGCGCCATATAAGATGGCAAACTTAATTGATAAATGTTGTGTGTTCTGATTGCTCCACCGGACTGGCCACTCCTCCTCTCTCTCCCTCTCTTCAGGCCTCCCTATTCCCTGAGACACGACAATATTGAAATTAGGCCAATTAATAACCCTACAATGGCCTGTAAGTGTTCAAGTGAAAGGAAGAGTCACATGTCTATCACTTTAAATCAAAAGCTAGAAATGATTAAGCTTGGTGAGGAAGGCATGTCAAAAACCAATAGGCTGTAAGCTAGGCCTCTTGAGCCAAACAGTTAGCCAAGTTGTAAATGCAAAAGTTCTTGAAAGAAATTAAAAGTGCTATTCCAGTGAACACAAGAATGATAAGAAAGTGAAACAGCCTATTACTGGTATGGAGAAAGTTTTAGTGGTCTGGACAGAAGCTCAAACCAGCCACAATATTCCCTTAAGCCAAAGCCTAATCCAGAGCAAGGCCCTAACGCTCTTCAATTCTATGAAGGCTGAGAAAAGTAAGGAAGCTGCAGAAGAAAAGTTTGAAGCTAGCAGAGGTTGGTTCATGAAGTTTTAAAGAAAGAAGCCATCTCCATGACATAAAAGTGAAAAGTGAAGCAGCAAGTGCTGATACAGCAAATTATCCAGAAGGTCTAGCTAAGATAATTGATGGAGGTGGCTACACTAAATAACAGATTTTCAGTGTAGATGAAACAGCCTTATATTGGAAGAACATGCCATCTAGGGCTCTTATAACTAGAGAGGAGAAGTCAATGCCTGGCTTCAAAGCCTCAAAGGACAGGTTGACTCTCTTGTTAGGGGCCAGTGCAGCTGGTGACTTTAAGTTGAAGCCAATGCTCATTTACCATTCTGAAAATCCTAGGGCCCTTAAGAATTATGCTCAATTTACTCAGCCGGTGCTCTATAAATGGAACACAAGCCTGGATGATAGCATGTCTGTTTACACCAAGGTTTACTCAATAGTTTAAGTTCACTACTGTTCAGAAAAAAAGATTCCTTTCAAAATATTACTGCTCATTGACATGCACCTGGTCACCCAAGAGCTCTGATGGAGATGTACAAGGAGATTAATGTTGTCTTCATGCCTGTTAACACAACATCCATTCTACAGCCCATGGATCAAGGAGTAATTTCGACTTTCAAGTCTTATTATCTAAGAAATACATTTCATAAGGCTATAGCTGCCATAGAGAGTGATTCCTCTGATGGATTTGGGCAAAGTAAATTGAAAACCTTCTGGAAAGTATTCACCATTCTAGATGCCATTAAGAACATTCGTGATTCATGGGGGGAGGTCAAAATAACAACATTAACAGGAGTTTGGAAGGAGTTGATTCCAACCCTCATGGATGACTTTGAGAGGTTCAAGACTTCAGTGGAGGAAGTAACTGCAGATGTGGTAGAAACAGGAAGAGAACTAGAAGTGGAGCCTGAAGAGGTGACTGTATTGCTGCAATCTCATGATAAAACTTTAATGGATGAGGAGTTGCTTCTTATGGATGAGCAAAGAAAGTGGTTTGAGATGGAATCTACTCCTGATGAAGATGCTGTGAACACTGCTTGGATGACAACAAAGGATTTAGAATATTACACAAACTTAGTTGATAAAGCAGCAGCAGGATTTGAGAGGATTGACTCCAATTTTGAAAGATCTACTGTGGGTAAAATGCTACAAACAGCATCACATGCTACAGAGAAATCTTTCATGAATGGAACAGTCAATCAATGTGGCAAATTTCATTGCTGTCTTATTTTAAGAAATTGCCACAGCCACCCCAAACTTCAGCAACCACCACCCTGATCAGTCAGCAGCCATCAACACTGAGGCAAGACCATCCACCAGCAAGAAGATTACGAGTCGCTGAAGGCTCAGATGATCATTAGCAGTTTTTAGCAATAAGGTATATTTTAACTTAGGTATGTACATTTTTTTCAGATATAATACTACTGCACACTTAATAGAGCACAGTATGGTGTAAACATAACTTTTATATGCACTGGGAAACCAAAACATTTGTGTGACTTGCTTTATTGCAATATTTACTTTATTGCAGTGGTCTGGAACTGAACCTGCCATACATCTGGGGTATGCCTGTAGTATGTTATATAGTGTTAAGTGCTAAGGAGAAAAATTAAAGTAGGATATGAAATGTGGGGACAGGGGTGGGGAATGGCTTAAATTTACATAGGGTTGCCAGGGAAGGCTTCACTAAGGCGACCTGAGTCAAGATCTAAAAGACATGAGGGAACTAGCCATGTGAAGGAAAAACAAGCACAAAGGCCCTGGGGCAGGAGCTTACCAGTGTTTGAAGGAGAGGACAGAGGCCTGAGTATTGAAGGGGATAAAGAGATGAAGGAAAGGGAGAATAGTAGCTGAGGTAAAAAAAAAAAATAACAAGTGTTTCCACTTCAGATCACATCAGGCAATGGAGGAGATAGAAAGTCGTTGTTGTTGTTAGGTGCCATCAAGCCAATTCCAACTCATAGCAGCCCCATGTACAACAGAACGAAACACTGCCTAGTCCTGCACCATCCTCACAACTGTTGCTATGTTTGAGCCAATTGTTGCAGCCACCGTGTCAATCCATCTCATTGAAGGTCTTCCTCTTTTTCATTAACCCTCTACCTTACCAAGCATGACGTCCTTCTCCAGGGATTGGTCCCTCCTGATAACATGTCCAAAGCATGTGAGACAAAGTCTCGCCATCCTTGCTTCCAAGGAGTACTCTGGCTGTACTACTTCCAAGACAGACTTGTTTGTTCTTCTGGCAGTCCATGGCAGTCATTAGAGGGTTTTAAGCCGAGTAAAATTTTAACAGGATCACTCTGGCAAGGGCAGAAGCAAGAGGTCCAAAACTGAAACGCTATTACAAAAATGTATGTAAGAGATAATGATGGCTTGGACGTGTGTGGTGAAGGTGAGGTTGTAAGAAGTGATAGAATTCTAGACTGATTTTTGAAGGCAGGGATAACAGGATTTGCTGGAGGATCAGATATGGGGTATGAGTCAAAGAGAGGAAAATAGAGTTGTAATTACCCGAGATGAAGACCACAAAAGGAACTGGTTTGGTGGCAAATATGTGAAATTTGAGATGTCCCTTAAGTCATACAAATGTGTAGTTGGATATGTATCATTTGGATACATAAGAGGAAGTGTCCAGGCTGGAGTTGCAAATTTGGGAGTCATCAGTACATAGTAGTAATTAAAACCATGCAACTGGATGAAATCATTTAGAGAATGAGTACAGATAGAAAAGAGAAATCTAAGAACTGAGTCCTGGGGCATTATCAAAATTTAACAGTCAGGAAAATAAAGAGGAGCTGGCAAAGAGACTGAAAAGAGCAACCAGAAAGGCAGGAAGAAACTTGGGAGTGTGGTCTCCTAAAAGTCATGTGAATGTCAATATGAGGACCAAGAAAAGTTCACAGGCTCTTGCAATGCGGAGCTCAATGGGGACTTTCAGAAGAGCAGTTTTAGTTGAGTGGTGACGAAAACCCAACTGGAGTGGGTTCAAGAGAAACTGGAGACCATGTCAACCCTCTCAAGAATTTTGCTACGAAGGAGATAAATGAGATGGTAGCTAGAGGTAAGTGGAGTAAGAGGTTTTCTTTTCTTTTTTTTTTTTTTTTTAAGATGGGAAAGATAATAACATTTTGCATCCTGATGGGAATAATCCCGAAGGAAGGAAAAGCTGACAATACGAGAAGGAAACGCATTCTACATTAATGTTAAGCCAACAGCAAAAGACAACCCAAGTGTTCAGTAACAGGAGTCCAGTTAAACAGATTAGAAGTCCGTTCTATAGATCTATCCTAAGCAGCACTGAAAAAGAATAAGGAAGCACTCTGTGCAATCAGAGATCCCCAAGACATGCCAGGTTAAAAAAAAAAAGTAAGGCATAGAACTATAGTATGCTATCTTTTATGTAAGAAAGGGAAAATTAAGAAAATATTTTTTTGTTTTTTTTTTACATAAAGAAGCAAACAATAACAATTACCAGCATGAGGTGTGGAGGGAAGAGAAGAGAATGGAGAAGAAAGTAGCTGGAGGCAGGATACAAGTAGATCCTATACTTTCTTATATTGTTCTGATATTAGAACCATGTGTCTGTATTATCTGTTGCTCCCCTGTCCCCGGCCAAAAAAGTAGTAGTAATACATGATTTGTAAAAGTCAGTCTGCTAAATAATAAGACCCCCAAGAAAGCAAGCACATCAGTTGTATATGATCCCTTCATCCTCCATCTCCTTTATCCACATAACTCTTTTTCTTTTAACTTTACCTTAATCTAGATGCTGACCCCAACCCTCTTCAAGTTTTCCAAAGAGATCCACACAAAAACATCTGTGAACAATGTAGATCTTACTAAAGACTTTTTTAAAGAACTAATGAGGGGAAAGGGCTTTATATCACATAACTCAAAACACAGAGCTGAGCAATATTTTAGGGCTCTCTGTTCTCCAAAGTTCCTTGGGGTATAGGTGATATGATCCTCCTCCCTTCCACACCCTGCCAAACTTGCTTCTTTCTCTTACTCTCCATGTCACTTCCTATACTGATTCTGCACTCCCTACTCCTAAATCAAATTCCAGTCTTAGTGATTTATTTACGGCAATTCAATTCTGCCCTGCAACATCATCAGCAAAACAGAAGGCCCCCAACCTCCTACCGCACCACCACTACCAATGCCCCAATAAAAAGCATCTCGTCTCAGTGCTCTTCACCTGGGCAGGCAAGATGTCATGGTTTGAATTATGTCCCCCAAAAAATGTGTTGTATCAGTTTGGCTGGGCCATGATTCCTGGTACTGTGTGATTTTCCCATATGTTGTAAATCCTGCCTCTATGATGTTAATGAGGGAGGATGGGTGGCAGTTGTGTTAGTAAGGCAGGACTGGATCTAACTGGATTGTGTCCTGAGGCAACTCTTGAGATATAAAAGACAGAAGTGAGCAGTGAGACAGGAGGACCTTATACCATCAAGAACGCAGTGCCGGGAGCAGAGCGTGTCCTTTGGACCTCTGGACCGGGGTATCTGTGCAGAGAAGCTCCCAGTCCTGGGGAACACTGAAGAGAAGAAGGCCGACAGAGAGAAAAAGCCTTCCCCTGGAGCTGACGCCCTGAATTTGGACTTTTAGCCTACTTTGACTATGAGGAAATAAACTTCTCTTCGTTAAAACCAAAAAAAAAAAAGCATCTCGTCTCCTTTAAAAAAAAAAATCAGTTGCTAACTGTATAAGGCGTAATTCAGGTCACTGGTTGTCCTAGGTGTCACATCTATAGTTCTAGTAGATACATATGTTGTGGACATTATTTCACAGGGATAGTTACACAGATCCTTTATTTATACAAATGTGGATTAAGTTAGACCACAAGTACTTATACTTTGGCTAACTTTTATAAAAATTCTGAGAAAGGAGCTAAATATTTACTACATAGGTTGAAAGAGTTCCTATCTTCTTACTACAAAGAGTATGCATTTAAGTTCAAAAAGCCTTAAAAATGACTTTTAAAAGGGATTTGCAGAAAATTTTGCAGAAAACACATAAAAATACACAGAAAAATAAAAACATTTATTGCACTGTTCCTATTGCCAGACACACGCTAGCCATATTTAACTCTCCCAATAACTCTTTGTAGATATACTACCTTTAACCACATCTTGCAAATGAGAAAAGGTTAAATAAGGTTAAAGAGTCTGAGTTCAAGATTACAGGACTTAAAGAGGTAGCTGAGTTGGGAGCTAATATACAGTATAGGCAATCCATCTAAAAGCCACTCTCTGAAGCACTAAACTCAACTGCCTCCAGAATCTATCTAGAAATTAATCTAAACCTGGGATTTCACAGCACATACTGTTTAATAACCTTTCTTCAGCTTATGTATTATGTATATTTTGCCTTCTCATTAGTTATTCCTTCTCAACACTATGTTTCTTACTTAAATACTTGAGTGAATTTCACTAATATTTGGTCCTTCTCCCTTGCTGATTTTTCTATTGATTTTATTTTCCTTGTGCTAGTTTATAAGATTCTTTAAATATTCTTAATATTAATGCTGTCGACCATATGTTTAAATGTTTTTCCCAGTTTGCCACTTATTTTTATGATTTTTTTAAACATCTAAAAATTTTCTTTCTGAGAAAATCCATCAGTAGCTTTCTTTATGGTTTTCATCTTTGCTTGGAGGTATATAAAGTCCTCTCCTACCTAACTTGAATTCCTTTATATTTTCTTCTTATTTTATGATTTATTTTTTGTATTAAATCCAACTCAAATTTATTTTACATTCTACTTACCTCAGAAAGACTGCTCATTTCAATTGCAGTTATCAAGTTATTGTTCATGAGTGCTTCTATTTCTATAAGCTTCTTATTCTGCATATGTGAAATAAAGAAGACCATTTTTAATCAATTAAGATTTGTAGTTCATTATCATACCATACATTTATGAATACCTTCAGTGTGAGAAGACTTAGAAAATAACTGAGATCACATTAAGCGAAAAAGGTACTGTATTGTATAGTTCAAACAGCCATATATATACATTTTGAATGTTTTTGATTAATCATAATTTTCCTATCTTTCTGTAATAACATATCACATGACAAGCAAATAAAATTTGTCAGCCACAGGAATTTAACCCTCAGGTATAGCAGGTCATTTTTCCATTTTATTTTAGGTTTAGAATCTATAGATACAGACTAGCTAATCATTCCAACTTCCATGGACAGAGTTGGAAGTTGGAAGAAAAAGCAACTACTACAATCTTCATTCTATTTGGCTTGCGGCCAATGAAATGCTGGGATTAAGGGAGAATACAAACACTCTGGGAACTCTTCTTTCCATTTACTGGAGGAGCTTTTTAAAATGTATTAATGCACCTAGCTTTGCTTAGGATAAGCAATTAAATGTTGATCAAGGTAATATATTGGTTTGCAGAGCCCACATTTAGAATGCATTTAGACTTAAGACACCTATTTTATTATCTTATTAGCAATGTTAAAAAAAAAAAAAAAACCCTGGTGGCATAGTCGTTAAGCGCTATAATTAAAAGGTCGGCAGGCTGAATCCACCAAGTGCTCCTTGGAAACTCTATGGGGCAGCTCTACTCTGTCCTACAGGGTCGCTGTGAGTCAGAATCGACTCGATGGCACAAAGGGTTTGGTTTGTTTTTTTTTTTTTTTTGGTATTAGCAGTGTGCCTTTTAACATAGATTTACATGGCACATTGACTTTCAGTGATTTTTTACAATAATTGGAGATTGGAAAACATTGTTAGAGTTTCTATAATAATGTAGTTAAAAGATTATTGTTATGCTTTAGAATTTTAACACAATATAGCTTTCATACCAAATTATTTAGCTTTAGGCGAAGAAATGTGTTCTCAAAATTCAATTTCTCCACTTCTTTTTGCAACAGCATCTTTTCAGTTGTAAGTCTTCGAGAATTCTCTTTCTCTTTACTAAGAGCCTGAGCTAATGCCCTGTTGTTATGCTTTAGAGAAATTTTTAAAATGGAAGAATTGTCTGTAAAAAGATTTTTAAAAGAGTTAATATTGAACTTGTATCTTAATAAAATTTCTTACTCTTGAATAAAACTAGGCAAAATATATTTCTCTCCACATGTTTTAACTGAAGGTTGAAAAAGAAGGGAATGAGAACACCGATGGAGTTAAAAAAAAGAATGAACTCAGAGTTTGGAGCTGAAGAAGTGAAAGCTCGAGAGAAGATGAAGAATAACAGTCATGAGGAATGCAGAAGGTATGCAAACAGAGAGACAAAAATAAGACAACCACGAAGGAGACCACTCAGGCCATTCAACACTCACTGCTGAAAATTCAGCTTTCACCACTGAGGACAAATCATCATAATTACCCATCTAATACAAGTTGAAGGAGACAGAAAAGATCAAATGAAAAAGGTATCTATGAACAAAATAAATACAGGTAGTCTCCGACTTACGAAGGGGGTTCCGTTCCGACTTCTCCATCGTGTATGTCAGATCTGACATAAATCGAATACATCATTTTTTTCCCTAGTTTTCATTATTATTGCCTTCTATTAGCAGTATCTTTATAAATCTGATCTTTATCTTTGGGGGTTGGCATGAGAATGATAACATCAGCAAATTACACGCTGCAACATTGTTATGTAGTACAAATTACTAACGGTAAGATGTAAAAAAAAAAAAAAAAAAAAAAGACAGCCGTAAGTGTGGTTTGTCATAACTCGAATATGTCGTAAGTCGGGGACTACCTGTAATCATTTTAGTCTACTTCTATACTTGATAAAATAAGGAACCCAATATTATATCAGTTCTCAGGAAAAAGTAAAAATAACTATACTTCAAAACTAATGGCACTTACTTATTATTTTTGTTTTGATTTTTGAAGCTAGAGAAACATTCAATTTAGCAGTCTTTGAAATTCTTTTGTCTTTCACATGTCTCTTAATTCTTGAGGTAAAAAGTGGGCCAGTTTCCAACACTGGGGACTCCATCACTGAAGTGAAAAAAAAAAAAGGAAGAACGAAATCATGCTATTGATTAATAATAGTAAAAAAAGGGTAAACGATAAGTATATTCTAAAAAGAAATAGTCATGGCTTAAATAATGTATTTTGTTTGTATATAAGTGTTTGCAAATCCCTTTATATAGAATCTGAAAGTATGAAGCAATCAAAAGTGTTTTAAAATAGAATATGAAAAGTAAATGACCTTGTTTTTTCATTCAAGCCTAAATTACATCTATGTGCCAGAACTAGCTAGGCACTGGGGACAGATGATAGGATATGGTTCTTCCTCTCATCTGATGTGGGTAAGACACTGTTATGATAACAAGTATGAAGTATAACCTTGCAGAGAAGCACCCGATTTAATGGAGGCACAGAAGAGAAATACCTAATCCTAGAAAGGAGTGGAAGAAGAAGCAGGCAGGAAATCTTAAACTTTATCTATTTGTTTATTAGACTTATGATCTATTAGACCTTATAATCTAATAAGGGAAACAAGAATAAATACATTATAGAATGACATGAACAATGGATATGATACACAATGCAAAAGAGAAGTTCCACCTCCTTTTGGAATGGGAACGTCTATAACTGTTATACTTTGCCTTTCTCACGATTGTATTTTGGGAACAGACAACTTGTTTTCTAGTTTCACAGTCCCAGAGATGGAAAAGAATTTTGTCCCACGATGAATCAAACCCAGAGTCTCACACATGCCTAATTAAGATGCTGAGATTTGGGATTTATGAGCTGATGATATTTAAATATTTTGGACTTGAGTTCAGTAATGAACGGGTTGAGACTTTCGGAGATGTTGGGATGGGGGTGAATGTGCTTTGC